ATTATAATTAATATAAAATATTAGATGAGTCGATCACATTCACTTGGTAATGTATTAATAAAATATAATATCTGTAGTACCCCATCACGTCTCAGTTAATTAATCTATTAATAAAAAATCTGATAGAAAGTTAATATCCCATGAAAAAAACGAGAGGCAATCTATCCACGCTGGCAAACAAGATACATATGTATGCCGCCAGACTGCTTTATTATATATATAAATAAATAAAGAGGACGCAATTTTCATAGCCATGCGAAAGCTGAAATTAACTCTCTAAATTATGCACATCTGCTATTTATGAACCATAAATCAAAATAGCCCATAAATTTATATTTAAAATACCTATATTTATTATTATGAAAGATAATGCAAAGTATTTCTTAAGTTTGTAGCAGAATTACCCACGTATGTCACTAACAAACATAATATAAAGTAAAAAAAATTATTATCCAAATTATCAACCTTGGCTGTTATAAAAAAGAAATAAAAACATGTCTAAATCTACATGTAAATACTAATATAAGTTATTACCATAAATAAATTAATAACCATTGTTATTTAAAATAACTTTATTATATTCCAACTAAAATATTATGCCATTTCAAAACTGGTAATCTACTTTATAAAATAAAAAATAACACTAAATCTACGTTTAAAAAGTTATTATGACAAATAATTAATAACGATTGTTATTTAAATAAGTTTATTATACATTGACTAAAACATTACTCCATATCAACATCGACAATCTAATTTTAAGCGCTCTATGTTTTTGTAAAACAATAGTACTACACAATAATTATTTCTATCAGTATAATAAATTTAATATCTTAATTATCACAGTCCAAGCTATAATGACTCTTTTTTTCATTGCAGTAGCAAAGAGTGTTGCCTAGAATCTGCATTGTTTTTAAGTAAAATAAAAACCAGGTATTATAATAACATGTTGTTAAATATTAACCTCTAGCCAACCGATCTTGAAAAGCAACTAATTCATCATGAGGACATGCAATTAATAAACATGGCCTAGTATCTCACCAAAATTCTCTAAAACGTACCGCCACCAGCCAAAAAGTGTGCCTAACCTATATCTATAATTAACTAATCTATCTTCATGATTTCGTTAAAAGAATATGAAAAAAATCTATCCGACAGTGGTGGAATTTAATCCCACTAATAAATACACACTACAAGCAAACACCAGCAAGGCTTCAATGGCACATTAATGCACAACGCCCCGCCTTGAGAAGCAGAAACTATAACGATATATAATGGCAAGATAAACAAGGTAATCTACCAACATTCCTGCTTCCTTCCACATGCAACTTTTCCTTTAAATACTATATTTTGATTAATATATCAATCTAATTATTGTCACATCTATTGATCATATATATAGAAAAAGCTACCTTGGAGAACATCATGCTAACCTAAGAAGTCATCTACACTAACGAGACAATTCTGAAAGGAGCGGCACAATACCTGAACACGAAGGAAACATAATAACATTACCACCTCCTTTTCTCTCACAACAAATACGTATCAAATCATTTCAAAGATACAACAACAATGGGTTAAGGACTTCATAGCAACGACAAAATTATGTCGGTGACACCTTCATGATGAAAAAGATCAAAAAACCAACAAATGAAAAGCCAAACGTCAATGGTATGGACTTCCAAATTATCCTAAAAAAATTCAACAAACAACTCAATGGAAGACTACAATTTATGAAAACAATTGAAGGTACGCATCTAGATATCCATACTCAATCATGCTATTAATTTTTTATTTGGAGGTGAATTAACCTTTTAATATCATTATCCGCACAATTCAATTTCTAAAGAGGGAAGTGCAACACGCCCGTATAGTGCTCAAAGTCAGCCATATTGGGACACAAAACAAATGAAGGAAAACAAAACACCCAATGGTGGAATCAAACTAATGTGACATCATTAGTTGTGCCACGACGATCTCTCTCAATCATGCCAAAGCGAATTCTATACATAATATGTGCAACTCTGGATTTAAATCAAGTTAATTGTAGGAAGTGCTTAATACGTAGTAAATAAGAATTTCTATTGCTTAAGTATCTCAAAATTAGCCCGTGCTCCCGCACGGTTGATGGACTAGTTTAGCTAATCTAGTGGAGTATGCTGAACATACTGAACTATGGAGTGAGAATCTCACAGGGCAGATAGTCAAATGGAGATATAGAGGGTGGAATGGAATTTAGAGGGTATAACCCGAGATGCACTGAAGTTCTCATGTACAACCAAAAAAGAAAATAATTATCTGAAATGCACGGGGGAATAAGGTTCTGTCCATAAGGGCACTGTCAACCAAGAAACTAGATGATTTCTATCTTTATTAATTAAGGTGTCAACTAAGCAAAAATATGACGTGGCACTGCAATTAAAGAAGAGAGATGAGGAAATAATTTCTTAGAGAAGAAAACATGTCTACACGAGAACTAAGACATGAAGAGATGTGATTGGTAGATGATATAGAGAGAAGACTTGTGATTGGTTTAAAAATTATTGTATAGAAACTCTCCATTGGAAACATAATTTCTATATAATGTCTAAGAAAATTAATGAATATGAAAACTACCAATGATTTTTAGTATTAGGACTACGCTAAGGAAGCAGTCCAAAGTTAGCACTTGTTGGTAGGCAAAAGGTTCCACGGGAAATCAGTCCAAAGTTAACTCCTACACTGCTGTAATTACCGGTCAAATTAGTCGACCAAGACGACAGCGACGCAAGTCGCAACGTGTTTAATTGGGTATATATCTCTTCAACTTTCGGCAGCCGACACGGGCCCCGTTTATTTCGCTGATAAGTCATGGTTGAAAATATTGTCGACTAATTTATTATAAGAAAAAAATATTATTCCAACTAAAAATCAAAATGAAAAATATGAATTATTAGACAAACGAACAGGGCCGGACGATGTCCCCAAAGAATGGAGATATCATCAACTCTTCCGTTCCACGGACGAGCTGACAGCTGGCGCAGGTGAGAACTGCTCGCAACACGCAGGACGCTCGTTGGTACACTCTCTGTAGTCTGTACCACGCACATTCATTAGCGTCGCGTACAAGGTCATGCCTATAGTGTCAAGAACGAGTGACGTTACGCTTGCCTGGTTTCAAGGCCTCATTGACAGCACCGTGGCATGGAGATGGAGATGTTCTTCTCTTGTATGACCACTGACCAGAATGAACTAGTAGTTTATATATATAGAGTAGAAAAGAGTAAAATAGAGAAGCCACGCAGATTCTAAAGCCGTGTTCTGTGGAGCTCTGAGAGTTGATTCTCTGCTGAATCCAGCAGGAGCTTTGCTCAACAGAGAAAAGTGATTCTCTGTTGATTCTGTGAGGTGATTTTCTAAAATAAACTAAGAGGCCGAGAACTGAAAAAAGTAGTTTCTCCTGATTCTGTGAGGTGATTCTCCATCGTGATTTTGAGAGTTTATGTTAAAGAATAAAATAGAATCATTTCCAGCCACATAATCACTTCTATCAGAGAATCAGCTTTCATAGAGAATCAAAATCAGATGGAGCTCTACCGAACAGGTCCTAAAATCCAACTCCTATGTGCTACAGGCTGGCCTACACCCCGCAGCAACAAAGCCGGACACGACTGGAGCTGCATCAGAACAAGTATATAAGAGGCTGTAAGTGAGCTGTATGCTGATGTAGAGGAAGGAGGGGAGTAGAGAGAAGAGAAATGGGCTATAAGCTTACAACTAGCTTATGCATGAGAACCAAGAAGTTTTGTGAGATAGACAAATGTGCTGTAAGCTAACTAACTATTATACAAATGGGTTGTAAGTTTCTGTCCAGTTAGCAGCCGAGTGTATTATTAGGCTTGCTTTCAACGGCCCCTGGGTAAGAGCATCTCTAAGAGTACTCTATTTTTTCTTTCTAAAAATATGGTGTTTTTCAGCTCTAAATTTTTTTAGAGGAATAAATAAGGCCATCTCGATCTGAGAGTTTTCAATATTTCACTTTAAAAACTAAAATTTGGTCCCAGATGTTTTTTTTCCTGCGGCGTCCTCGTCGAACACATCCGCGCCGTCGTCTTGGACGTCGCCCGCGCAGCCGACGAACTCCACAGTGCGCGTGCACCCGGCGGCGGGGCACCACTTGACGCCGCTGCCGCTCTACTCCACGTACGACCGAAGCGCGAACCGCGCGTACAAGGAAGGAGAGGCCAGGGTACGCCTTCACTAGAACAACACCAAGGAGAGCGTGACGTGCTTTACTGCCCCACGGAATCTTGATGCTGCCTGCCTGCCTGCCCGTGCGGTTCTGCGTGAGGTGCAAACTCTTGGTCTCTTGGTCTTGGATACACGATGTTTGCCGCTTGTCCCCACCCCCCTCCCTCTCGATTTCATTGGAATTTTGGGCACTGAAATATATAATTCTCAGAAATGTTATGCTTGGTTGCAACACTGACAGTGGCTGGGGAGAAAAAAGGAAGGGTGTGAACTGGAGCATCAGCCGATCTCTGGCAAGCAAGGAAGTGTACTTTTGCCGGATGTTAACAACGCACGAACGGCAATGACAGGAAGATGTGACGTCTATGTGTGTCGCCCACCCTCCGCTCATAGCAATAGCTTGGATCATTGGACGGTCATCGCAAGGATCAGCTGGCGGAATCATTGAAGACCAGCTGCTTACGCCTCTAGGAAATCGACTTGGATAATTTGGATTGGATGTGCAAGTACTTCCAGCAGGCAACCCGTATTGAAACTACGGAGTAATTCCCACGGTGCCGCTCTCGCTAACAAAACCGTTTCTGGCTTTCGGTCCCTCCCAGCATGCCCAGCCTCTTCTAAAAACGAGACCAAACCGTTTCCTTTAAAAAACGAACCGCCCAGGAAAAAAACACAAGGAAATGTCAACGTGTCATGACAACAACCGCAGGGCAAAGAAAGGTGCAGCTATGTCGCAGTAGCTTCGCGTGGCACGTAACGGAATTACCTACCTCATCATCTCCGTCCGTCGCGGTCGCCGTGGTGGTCGTCGTCGGGTCACCGCCGGCGGGCGCCGCCCTCTCCGCGCAGCCTCCGCCTCCGGCGCGGCCGGCGGCGAGCTCGAGCTGCGCCCAGAGCGCCTTGACCTCGGCCTCCTTGCGCTCCATGCGCGCGCGCCACCCGTCGCGCAGCCGCTCGTCCCTCCGCCGCACGTACGCCTCGTACATCCTGCCCCTCACGTCGCTGCTGCCGCCGCGGCCATCACCTCCCGACTCATCATCGTCCTCCTCCTCCGCGCCGTCGCCAACGGCATCGGCATCGGCATAATCGTCGACGTCGTGGTCGCGCGCGGTGGTGGTGGTCCCGGTCGTCGTCGTCCGCTCGGCCAGGCGCTGCTTGTACCCCGCAAACTGGCGCTCCAGCTCGGCGGCCATCGCCCAGAGGTCCGCCGCGCCCGGGCCCGAATCGCACGGCATCCTGATCGGTCGGCCGCCGTACGTACGTCGTAGAGGCCGGCATGCGCGCTCGCGGCCTACCTGGTGGTCTCGTCACGGCGATCGGCCACCACCTCCTGGCTCCTGCGCGGCGCGCGGTGCACGCGTGGGATCGGAACAAAAATGAAATGGGACGTACGCGTGGGCGTGGCGGAGGCTCCCGGGCCCGGATCATTTTTGACTTTGTGGCGGGGAGGGCGGCCGGGGACGGGACGGGACGGGAGGCGAGGCCGGGGACTCTGGTGGCGTCGTGGTGCGCACGCGCGGGCGGGTTTCCTTGGTTTTCTTTGTTGCCTCGGTGTCTCCGGGGTCGGGACGGTTGGGCCGGCGCGCGCAGACTTGGCGTGGGGCGCCAGGAGGATCGACCGCGGGATGGATGATGCAATGCTTGCGCGGTGGCCGGGTGGCGTCGGCGGTTAACTATGCTGGCTGTGGACCGGTTGGCATGCATGCGGTGGCGAACATGCAGGAGCAGGACGCCTCCTCCTGCTGCTGCCGCCTAAAACGAAGCGGCATGCATGCGCGCGGCTTTATTACCGCGTAAATACAGCGCAGCTAATAACACACAGACATAGCTTCGTGCGTCACACCACCATCCGTGTAGGACAAGGACATATACTTAGACCCGTTTGGTACCGATTCTTGGCAGCCTCTTGAATCCGTTTTTCGGCTCCACCTGTCAAACGCCTCTAACCTGTTCAGATCTTAGGAAGAAGCCCTGGAATTCCTGCTGAGACAAGGGAGGAGAGAGAGTAGGAGCTAAAATTTGTGGCTTCTTCCGGCTTCCTCTAGCGGTAGCGGGCCCCATCGTGGCCATGGGTCTCCTTTGCCCCCGGCGCGTCTACGAGGGCGGCGGCGGTGCGCCTGCTGGACATCGGCGCCGGATCCGCTGGAACCGGGAGCTGGGCCCTGCCCGGGCAGCGCGAGGCGGCGGTGCTGGCGAGGCACGCAGCCGTAGAGGTTGTGGGGCGCGCGGGCGGTGAGATGAGGGGGCAGGGCTAAGACGATGCGTGCTGCTCGGGATGCGCCAGGAGCCGTGGCCTCGACACGGGGAGGCGCGACGAAGCCGACGGGGAAGAGGAACAGGGGAGCAACGACCTACGCGAGGCCTGTCCGTGTGCGGGGTGATAAGGTAGTGAGAGAAAAAACAAATAAAAAGAAATAAAAGGAGAGAAAAAAAAAAAAAGTATTATAGACATTTCATCACTTTTCATCACAAGGAGAAGCTGTTTTTTTAAACGGTCTAAGAAACAGATTCAGCCTTTCATGTGAATCTGTTCTACGGGTGAAGCCACAACTAAAACTTCTGTTTTAGCTGAAACCGAGCTCTATAAAACGGGCCCTTACACCGAAACGAGACGCGACAGAGGTGGCATCTCGCAAGGGCACGCACGCGACATGACGCGCTGCCCGGCCGCCTCCGCGAGAACCGAGAGCAGCGGCCGGACACGGTAGCGTGCGCGGCGCAGGGCCCGGGCGGCGCGGCGTCGTCCCAAGAAACCCAGACAAGGATCCGGTTCTTTTGGCTCGTGTATGTACGTGACGACGGTGCAGCGCGCTCTGCTCTGTCCGAGAGAATGTGTGCGGCCCAGGTACGGAGTACGGACGGGGCATCCAAGGCCTGGCGGCGAAGGCCGGCGTCCGTTGCGCGCGCAGGCCGCTGCCCGCCTGAAATTAAGCTCATTTACGTCGCCCGGCGCCCCGGGATGGACCGTGTCAGTGGCACCCGATGCAGTAGGGCTACGCATGTACGTGCCGCATTTATGTTCGGTGCAGCTAGCTCGCGGAGCCGCTGCGTCTCAGGCACAGCGACGCCGACGCCGGCCGGGCTGCTTCGTATACGCCTGCTGCCCCGGCGAGAGCCCGGCCAGCCTGTCATGTGCCTGCTGGAAGCCTGGACTGTGGCGGCCGTACACGCCTCCGTGACTGGAGAGTTTATTTCCGGGGCCGGGCTAGACGCTGTGCCGATCATTCGTTTGTAGCCTAGCCTGTGGGGTGTGCACGGCTGGGGGCCATCGCTTTGATGCTGCTAATCTTCGTTCGTTACTAGCGTCACGGCAATCTAGTGGTACGGTTGGAATCCGCAGGCCGGCACGGACTAATGTCAGGCCAGTTAATCAAGCTAGTGAAGCGACCACGACGACCCTTCCATCTTCTTCCTGTTGCATTGCATGTCTGTCGGACGCGCGTGGGACACCGTCTTTCTGTGCGGCCGCCGGCCGGCCCCGCACATGATTTCTAGCTGCAGAAGCTCGCTCGTCACTTCGGGGATGCAGCAATGGCGCGCCTTAATTCCTCCTGAGCATCAACACGGATGGCCAAGTGGAACACATGCGTCACACTACACTGCTGGTACTGATGATACAATTTTTTTACAGGATAATGCATGCATCCCTGTTGAGCTATTGCTCGCCGCCGGCACCCGGCATGGCACCGGAGTTGCCGGCGAGTTCGGCTTCGGTGCTTCCTCTTCGTCTTCCCAGTACCCACGAACCAACACCCGACACGGGCCAATCATCACACACGCCATTCAGGCCCAGTTACACGTACCTTGGGCTTCGAGGCCCGATTCGATTTACTCTGCAGCGAGCGGCCCTGGAGCGTCTTGTCTTCACCCACAGCTTCGAGTGAAACGTTTCTCACCTGAGTACCTGATCTACTCAACAAAAAAAAAAAAAAACTGAGTACCTGACTGACTGAGACCGTACCCTTTGTTTTTCCTCAAAAAAAAAAAAAAGACAGAGACCGTTTGACAACGATCCACGGTGCCAATGGCACCAACATTCGCTAGTGAAGACCGGCTCGCCGGCGGCCGTAGTCGGGACGACGCCGACGCACGACTACACTACCGCTGCTTCCACCTCAGGGCGCCTGCCCGTAACCTACCCAACCGCGGCGCTGCCATGCGCGCGGAGGTCACCCAGATCAGCACCTTAACCGCCGCGGTCGCGCACGTGCTCTGCTTCGCCGGCCTTGCTGCCGCCCACGCCCTCGCTGGCCGCCCACCCATGAGCCTTTCTGAACGCATTTGGAGCAATCGTTCTTGGTGCACCTGTTGGGATCAAGTAAGTGTAGATTCTGGAAGGGTTTAGCCTATCTTTTACTCGATGAGTAGGAAGAACCATGACTAGGATTGGCGTCTGTAGTGCTTTATTTGCTCTATAATTATCTCTTGCATCTGATTTTAGTAAAGCAAATCATGATATTTCAATTTATAGGTACTAACAGTTCCTTATTTGATTAAATTGTGCTTTTGCAGGTACTGGATAGTTACTATTTATTGGTTATTTCTCATGTCCCTGTTCACGGTCAGTGCCATTTTCGCTGAGTTACTGGTACAAAACCGAGCACTTGTCACTTGAGTACAATGAGATTGGCACTGGACAAGCAGTACTGTGTGTCTTCTGTTGATACTCATGTATCATAAGTTACCCCTTTGTATTTACTGCACATTTTAATCGAGGCAGTCAGGCAGGTGAGACTAATTTTTGTTACCTTTCAGTTCAGCATGTGTCTTTGGAGCATCCAATATTGATTGGCAGAATGTGCTTTCTCACTCCATGTATGTTCTTGACTCGTCTTTTGAATAGTAGAGGCTCATCCAGTGGAGATACTTCTTTCGTTTTGTATTGTCCAGCAATTGTGGCATGCTATTTCATTGTGTCCTTTGTCATGGAGCTGTAGTAGGAAGATGGCTTGGTGCCTGGTCTATGTCCCTTGACTGGGAGAGCCCTTGGCAGGTAAAGATACCATCTTTGCATCTCTAGCAGTTCCTAGACCTTGGAAAGCTGCATCATATGGATATGTTTGTGCACGTTTGGTAGTTAACATGACAGTAAATAGCTTTATGGAACATACATTCTATGATCCGTGTTAAAATTTGTGCTCACAAATATGGCCGAAAATTAAAATAGGAGCAGTACCTGCCCCAATACATATATATATTCGCTTGGGGATTGGATGATTTATGATCCCCATTTCCTGACTGAATTTTATGAGAGCTGCAACATGAAATTCGTTGGGTTTCCTGGCGTGTTTCTGCTTTTGAATCACTTGATACCTTGGTGTCTTTTTTAGCTCCTACTTAATCAATGATCTTTCTTTCATTCAATAAGTATTTACTGTTTCATTGATGATAATTCCTTTCCTGGGCTTACGGCTGATTACTCTTTTCTGTTTACTTGATCTTTCTTAGGAATGGCCAATTTGTGTCACTTATGGTGCTGTTGCTAGGTATTTGGTCGGAATGGCAGTGTCGTTGGTCCTAATAGCTATTCACAAGAGAAGGGTTCGTGCAAAAGCTGACTAGCCTGTGGTTGCTTAGTGCTGCCGTGCCTTTTCTTCTCTTTTTTCCTGGTTATTATAGATATGATTAATGCAGATTCCTCTTTAGATCTGATTAATAATCCTATAGTGTACAGCTGTTCTTCCCACAAAGCTATGTCTGTTCTTATTAGCTTTGAAATCTTGTTATAGTGTGAATACCGTTGGGTTTCAATAGCTTTATTTATCCAGGTTGCATTGTTCCATCAGCCGAAACCCATCTTTTCGGCTGATGGTTTCGGTGGTTGATAAGCCGGCAAAAGCTGATTTGGTGTGAAAGAAAAACATTGTTCCATAGCTGATAAACTTTTTCAGATAGCCTTTTTTGCTGCTCTACATTGTCTTCCCGAATGTAATGAATTAATGATACGGATTGCTGTCAAGGGCGTCGAGGGATAGGGTAGGTGCACCCCGGCTACGTAGTTCGTAGCCACGATCCGTGTTGGGGCGAGGTTTTACCCCTCAACGCCCGTTTTGTTGAGAGAGGGAGAATGAGAGATAATTGTTCTTACTTAATCCCAAATGACGGATTACAAGGACTCTTATAGGCCATAGCCCAACAGACTCTAACAAATCACTCCTAAATCAGAGGCCCCTTGATTGGCTCTCCTTTAATCTAGCCACTTTCTAAAACGAGCCCTGCGCTGGTGCCTGCCGTGGTGACCGCGGCGGCCGCGTCGCCCTGGTGTGCTGCTGCACGCCGCGCATCTCGGGCCCTTCTATTCCTGGCGTATGTGCGGCCCCACATGACAATTGCTGTTTAGCTTTTCCTATTATTAGAGAAGAGGAGGTTAATGCACAAATATGTGAAATGCATTTTGATTTTTTTCATGCATGTTTTCTTCAGGATCTATCGCACGAAGTTATCCATTTTTTTTATTGTTTTTTGCACACCGATAAACCGAATTCTATTACCATAGCAACGAAATTACAGAGAGTTACAGCGTGTTCGGCTGGGGTTGGCTGGCTGGCTGAGCTGGCCAGCCCCCTCACATGCACACTATTCATATGAACCAGTCAGCAGTACTTCTCTTTCACATAAACGAACCAGCAACGATACGTAGCAGCCAATCGAACATGCTGTTAGTTCAGAGTCATCGAATCTCCACATCCAACAGAAAAAAACGCAATCAAGTACATGATAGCAGAGGGAACACATGCCTGATAGCACTACCGCTGCTACCTGATTAAAAGACGGAACGACGTCCAAAAGACCAACACGTTTAACAAGCGTTTCCATACAAGATGCTTGCCCAAAACACCTCGCAGACTGAAACTCGCCGTACACAAAGTTCAACCAGGCAGCAACTGATGCTCCTCCAGAGGCTGTCTCCAACAGGAGACCTATTGTGGAACTCAAATCCAAAATAAATCTTCAACATAATACCTATAATTTTCAACAAAGTATATATATATAAAGATCTATTTTAAGTGCTAGGAGAGGCATAATCTAAATCTGAGTATCCTCTCTCTGGAGACCCATTTACAGAAAAGGTTGTCTTTTTGGTCTTGTTATTAGAAAAACAAAAAAAAAAGATATTAAACTATTTATCTTTAGTGCTACACAAAGGACAATCGTGTCTTGTAGTTCGGGTCGCGGTTGTTGGAGACCATCGGAGAAAGCGACTGCAAATTTTGCTTGCGGAAGAAGAGTGCTGCCGTCTTCACGGCTTGTGCTCCTGGACAACCTGCTGCTTCGGTTCCCATTTTTATTATTATTATCTGAATAAACGAAACCTCTCTATCGTGTGTCAATATATTCTCCTATGTTCTTGCTTTACAAAACAAAAGACAAACATGCTGCACAAATTCGTTCAATCACCGCTGAATACTGAACAAAAAATCGGCATCAGCAATGGCAATATCCACGGCGGTGGACGAGGCCGCGGTCTTCCTCTCGGGGTCTTGTCCGTTGGTCGTTGGCCACCGGGTACTTGTCCCCGAGCTCCTGAGTCCTGACCCCCGCCCCGGCGAGGCCGGGGTGCTCTGCGTATTCTCCGACATTTCCTGGCCATGTACTCGTGGGGAAGATGCACCGTAGCACCGGTGGGTTGCCTCGCCTTGGAGACGTTGCCGGCCGGCTGTGGCTCGGCGTCGTGACTCGCGTGTACTCGTGTCTTGTGTCGTGTCGGCGCTCATCAGCCCGTCCAAGCCTGCAGCTGGACAAATCTAAGCTGGACAAATCTTTATCTAATCAATCTTACAAGTATGACAAATGTAGATCAAAAAACTAATAAAGTTATGAGAAATCGCGAGACGAAACTTTTGAACCTAATTAGTCCATAATTAGACACTAATTACTAAATACAAACAAAATGCTACAATGAACCAAACTCCGAAAACTTTTGGATCTAAACGAGGCCTAATCAGTATGACAGTATCTAATAAAGTTATGAGACTATTTTTTTAGAGACAGCTACAACTCTGCACATATGAATTTTATATTTGAGAACTATTGATAGTCAGAATTTCAAAAGTTTGAGCAGATTCTGTTTAAATAAAAGTTGGAGGATGAAGTGCGATCATACTTTTCATTATCTAAAGGGTAAAGTACACTTTCTAACCCTCAACTCACGCCAAGTTCGATTTTCAACCTTCAACTACGAAACCGGTTAAAAAACACCCTCCAACCATCAAAACCGGATAAATTTGGTCATCGACTGGTTTCAAAAGCGGTTTTCTATTTTCGAGAGACGCCGAAATTTTATATTATTTTTTTTGAGCATCTTAACGTCCTCAAATGAAAAAACTCAAAATTACAAAGTTGTATATCTCATTGAGAACTACAACTTTGGTATAAAATGTATTTTCATTTAACTCCATACAAATAATATATTAGTGCTATAATGCGGAAAGCGCTAGTAGACGATTATTATGGTGCTAAAATTTTATATTATTTTTCGAGCATCTTACTGTCCTTAAATGAAAAAAATTAAAACTATAAAGTTGTAGATCTCATCGAAGTCTACAATTTACATATAAAAATTATCTTCATCCGACATCGTATTGAAGGGTTTTCTATTTTTTAAAATTTGAGTCCCGTCACGCCACAATATTGTTTTGTCACGTGACGAGACTCAAATTTTAAAAAATAGAAACCCTTGCAAGTGAGCAGAAACATTTTGTGCTTAACAGTGAATGCACGCAAAATATGACTGACAGAGTAAATATATTCCCGCTGGTTGCATGTCAGCTTCTTCTTCTTTTTGATCACGCGTGTCAGCTTCTTAATATCTCTCTTTCTTTGCATGAATCTCAACAAGTATCCCTGATTTGTTTATCCTCTTGATTAGCTTCCTTACATTGTTAATGGATTTTATTCGTTGCTAGCCTTAACAATGAGTGAGTGCAATAAAAGTCCCGTTCAATGTACATTAAGAATTTTGACTGCCAATAGACTATAAATTATCTATTTATAGATATCACATATGCAGGTTTTTTTTTGAAAACCATTTTCGTGCACTTTACAACTGTACACTACAACCCTAAATGTTTGTTGAAAATAATAGTCAAAATAATTTCAAATCAATGCCTGTTCGCTTGGCTAATAAGTCATAGTTGAAAGTACGGTTGACTGATTTATTATGAGAGAAAAATATTATTCGTTGGCTAAAAAAATACGACTTATAAACAAAATAAACAAGGCGCAAAGTCAGTAAAAAGTTAGCATAGCAGACTCGAAGACATTTGACCAGAGATATCTCTATGAGTGTTTTCGACATGATTCTGCCAAGCCTGTCGATTCTGCCAAGCCCGTCGATTCTGCCAAGCCCGTGTTTAGTTCTAGAAAGTTGGAATTTTGGGTAACTGTAGTATTTTTGTTTTTATTTGACAATTAGTGTTTAAACATGGACTAATTAGGCTCAAAACGTTCGTCTCGTAATTTTCCACCAAACTGTGTAATTATTTTTTTTCGTCCTCCATATATGGGCCGCAAACATTCGATGTGATGGCTACTGTAGCACTTTTTGGGGTTTTAGGTTAGGTCCAGTTTAGTTTGCAAAAAATTTTGCAAAATTTTTCACATTCCCCATCACATCGAATCTTTGGACGCATGCATGAAGCATTAAATATAAATAAAAAATAAAACTAATTACACAGTTTAGACGAAATCCACGAGATGAATCTTTTAAGCCTAATTAGACTATAATTAGACACTATTTAACAAATAACAACAAAAACACCATCGTACTCATTTTACAAAATTTTTTGCATCTAAACAAGCCCTTAACTACATGGGCCAAATGAAACGAGGCACGTCGTACACTGTATGCACAGCTGTGGACACTGACCCTGTCGATTTTCTGTCCTCGCCGTCCGTAACCCCCATCCCCCACCGTCCTCAACACACTTCTGCTCCGTGCTCCCCACACCTCCCATGGCGCTTCCGCTTCCAAAGCCCTAGCCCCCGAATCCTCCCCTCCCTCCCGCCCGCCCGCCGCCACCGGCTCCCATCTCGCCCGGCGAGAGCCAGGGCGAGGCCATGGAACACCACCACAAGCCCGGCCTGCGCGTGCGCCTCCGCATCACCGCCGCGCGGCGCCGCGCGTGGCTCTCCGCCGGCCTGCGCTCCAACTGCCGCAAGCCGCCGCGCCGCGACCCCTCGGACTCCGTCCACAAGGTCGCGCGCCGCGAGATCGGCGGCGGCCACCGACGCCCGCCGCGGCCCGCGGCGCCCTCTTCCTCCGCATTCTCGTGCCCCGAGAAATTCCGCAACTTCCAGCTCCAGGTCTGTCCTCCGCGCGCCCCCTTGTAGCTGTAGTAGGCTGTCCGAGAATCTAGTGTTGATGCCGGCTGAGACAGGAATAACTGATAGTTCGGTAACCCTTATATAGGCTGTTAGGAATGTCCTGGTCGATTTGGTCCTTGTTATGAAATGGCGGTACTTGTGTAGATGTTAGCATAACGTTTATAAAATAAATAACTGATACTTCGGTGAACTGGGGTTGCTTGTGACAGGGTGTGGGTACAGGCTCTGGGTCTGGCTAGATCTGGGAGTACCAACTGTGAGGAATATTGATTCCTAATGTCCTACCCTGTTCGGACTGCATGTTTTTGACTGAAGTCAGCCTGTAGCTTGATACTATGTAGGCTTGTGAGTGTTTTTGACATGGATTCTGCATAACATGCCTGGCATCAAGATCCACAAATTCAATAGACAATCTGCCATTACATGCTATCGTCAGTTTGCAAGGCAAAATCCGCTGAAAATGAACATACCTTAGAATTTTGAAATTCTACATTGCTCATTTTTTTTTCTCTTTTCCTGTTTTCTCAGTTTCGGAACATTCAAACACTCCTAACTTTGTGTACATTTATCCACACAATGTATGAAGACTGTTTGTGAGGAATCTGGAAGGCTATTAAATGTCAGTTAAACTGCAACTTGTGGGCTTTCATCCTGGTCTTGGTGGATTTTTCTTTTCACAGAAAACCAAGTCAGTCCATTGTTGGTAATATTGAGATTTTTATATCGTTTAAAGGATTTTGCAATAACCAAACTACCACTGTACCACATTTGTGAGCATGAGCTTACCAACACCAACATGTGGGCAATAGTAATTCTAACATTTGTTGCATTTCATTTCTGTGGTTACCATACCAACAACAACAACATAGCCTTTCAGTCCCAAGCAAGTTGGGGTAGGCTAGAGTTGAAACCCACCAAGAGCCCCAAGTCACGGTTCAGGCACTTCAATAGCTGCTTTCCAACTACTCCTATTCAAACATAGATCTTTAGGTATATCCCAAGCTTTCAAATATCTTTTTATTGTCTTTCCCATATCAATTTCGGTCTTCCTCTACCTCTCCTCATATTATTAGCTTGGCTTAGGACTCCACAATGCACTGGTGCCTCTGGAGGTCTCCTTTGGACATGGCCAAACCACCTTAACCGATGTTGGACAAGCTTTTCTTCAATTGGTGCTACCTCTAGGCGATCACGTATATCATCGTTCTGAACTTGGTTCATTCTTGTGTGACCGTAAATCCATCGCAACATACGCATTTCGGCAACACTCAGTTGTTGAACATGTCGAATCTTTGTTGGCCAACATTCTGCTCCATACAACATAGCCGGTCTAATTGCCGTTTTATAGAACTTGCCTTTTAGCTTTTGTGGTACCCTCTTGTTAGAGAGAATGTCAGAAGCTTGTCGCCACTTGATCCACTCTGCTTTTATTCTATGGCTAACGTCCGCATCAATATCTCCATCCCTCTGAAGCATCGATCCCAGATACCGAAAGGTATCCTTCTTAGGCACTACTTAACCTTCCAAACTCACATCTCCCTCCTCCTGTACAACTCCGTCAAGGTCGAATCTCATGTATTCGGTTTTAGTTATGCTCAGTCTAAAACCTTTAGACTCAAGGGTCTGCCGACATAACTCTAGTTTCCTATTTACTCCCACCTGGCTTTCGTCCACTAACACTATATCATCAGTGAACAACATACACCAAGGAATTTCCCCTTGTATGTTCCTGGTAATCTCATCCATTACCAAGGCAAAGAGATACGGGCTTAAGGCTGACCCTTGATGAAGTCCAATTTTAATCGGGAAGTAATCTGTGTTACCATCGTTTGTTCGAACACTAGTCACAACATTGTTGTACATGTCCTTGATGAGGGTCATGTACTTTGATGGGACTTTATGTTTGTCCAAAGACCACCACATAACATTTCTTGGTATCTTGTCATAAGCCTTATCCAAGTCAATGAAAACCAAGTGGAGGTCCTTCTTCTGCTCTCTAAACCGCTCCATAACCTGTCTTATTAAGAAGATTGCTTCTGTGGTTGACCTTCCGGGCATGAAATCAAATTGGTTTGTTGATATCTGCGTCGTTCCTCGCAGGCGTTGCTCGATGACTCTCTCCCATAACTTCATAGTGTGGCTCATCAACTTAATTTCCCGATAATTAATACAACTTTGGATATCTCCCTTGTTCTTGTAGATTGGTACAAATATGCTTCTTCTCCACTCATCAGGTATCTTGTTCGATCGAAAAATATTGTTGAACATCTTGGTTAGCCATACTATAGCTATATCCCCGAGACATCTCCACACCTTGATTGGGATACTATCAGGGCTCATCGCTTTGCCCCCTTTCATCCTTTTCAAGGCTTCTCTGACCTCTGATTCTTGAATCATCCGCACAAAGCGCCTGTTAGTGTCATCAAACGAGTTGTCCAACTGAACGGTGGTGTTCTCGTTCTCACCATTGAACAATTTATCAAAATACTCTTGCCATCTATGTCTGATCTCATCCTCCTTCACCAAGAGCTGCTCCCTCTTATCCTTTATGCACTTGACTTGGTTGAAGTCCCTTGTCTTCCTATCGCAAGCCCTAGTCATCCTATTAATGCCCTTCTCTCCTTCCTTCGTACTCAAACGTCGGTAAAGGTCCTCATAGGCCCGCCCCTTTGCCTCACTCACCGCTCGTTTTGCAGTCTTCTTTGCCATCTTGTTCTTCTCTATGTTGTTTGCACACCTGTCATGATACAAGTGCTTATAGCACTCCTTATTTTTCTTAATAGCCTTTTGCACATCTTCATTCCACCACCAAGTGTCTTTCGAGTCGCATCCGCTCCCTTTGGTCACTCCAAGCACCTCTGAAGCAACCTTCCGAACGCATGTTGCCATCTTCTCCCGCATGCCGTTTGCATTGCCTTCATCATTCCAAGGGTCCTCTTCAATGACCTTTTCCTTAAAGACCTTTGATGCCTCCCCTTCTAATTTCCACCACTTCATTCTAGCAACCCTAGCTTGTTTGTTCCCACGAGCTTGCACCAGAAAGCGGAAGTCAGCCATCACCAGCTCTGTGGTTACCATACCAGAGTATTAAATTCTTGTACGACATGTATTTTGTTTACTGTCCAAATGGCGTGGTTGACTGAGTTGGAGGGGCACAGACAAGAAACTGAGTGTAGTGTGCTGACTTAGAACTTAGAAGCGTTGCTTTTTCCCTCGTTTGTTTCAAATTTGAGTTAATATTGTTTGCTAATCTGGATAGAAGGTACCGAGAATCAACGCAATTTCCAGTTCGGAATCTTAAAATCTTTTCATATATGAATGTTCTTATATTTGTCATCCAAAATGGCGGAATCTATAGTACGGAAATTTTCAAGTGGGGAGTACATGTGCACAAGCCAATGTTAAAACTACTGCGATATGCAGAGTCACAAGGAACGCGGTACGTAGCCGCGATCCGCGACCCGGGGTCGGGGTCAGTGTGGTACGCAAGACGGGACGATGCCTGGAACGGTGCTCGGGACGTCGTCCTGATGGTCCCTGGGACACCTCACGTGCATAACAGGCGGAGCGCTAGGCCAGCGGGACAACGCGATTCCTGCAAAGCGCTTGGCAGCGGCGGCGGAGCGATTCTTGCAGATGCTGCTAGGCGTGCGGCGGCGTTGGCACAATTCCTGCGGTTGCTAGGCGTGCGGGACTGCGGGCAGCGCGGTGTGCGTACGTTAGCTAGGGCAAGGCAAATGGGCTGTATGGGCCACTTTAGAAGTTTGGCCACATCAATTGATTTTTTTAGTTCATTTTATTTTATATTTATAAGTAAGCATGTGTATTAAAAAAACGGCGTAATTATTATAACTACAATTCACTATTAGAACTATGGTTGACGTATGAATGAGGATCGTCCCATGCGATCGTACCGGAAAATACTGGATCACGTCCCATGTTTCGATCCATACGTCCCGAAGAGGTATACCCCCTTACGAACCAGGAACTTAAAATCGTCGATCCACGTCCCATGTACCACATTCCTCGTACCTCCGTACCGGGAACTTTTGTGACTGTGGCGATATGTAAATGAAAAGGACTTCATTGTGTACTATCTGCTGTGTTGCAATGTATGGTTTAGATATTCTATAATTTACACGTTTGATTGAAATTGACTGTGCAGGAAGAATATGACACCTATGATGATGAGGTCCATTTTCTTGTCCAGTTGCCATTTTTGTGGACCAGAACAAAAATTATTGAAATTGTTGCAGCAAAGGATGTTATATTTGCACTTGCACAATCAGGTCTATGCGCTGCATTTAATCGAAGTAAGTCTCATGCTTTGTGGAATTTCTCTAATGATTCCCCTCTGTTTATGTTCCTGATAAACCTTCTTATTGTGTTGACAGCAACAAACAAACGCATATGCTACTTGAATATAAGTCCTGATGAAGTTATTAGGAGCTTGTTTTACAACAAGAACAACGAGTCGCTTATCACCGTTTCAGTTTATGAATCAGACCGTTTCAGTTCATTGAAGTGCAGAACAACACCTATAGAGTAAGATACCTCATCCATTTCTTCTTGAAGTACTCAAAAGTATTTTGAATTTATTATTGCTAACCTGTTGATCTTCCGGTGTTTGCAAAATTATTTGCGCTAGTATTTATATGCTTTTATTCATAATTGATGTGTTTTAAAAAAATATCAGTAGGGACATCATGTATTTGTATGCTGGTATGATTTTTTAGTTAGTGGCTACTTTTTTTGTAAGACATGATCTGATCGGTAGTAATTTTTAAATCAGCAGTTCCTTTAATTCATTTAAACTAATTTGTCTTCTCTGGTTGCAAATTTTTTAGGTACATCAGAAGAGGTCAACTGAATGATGGATTTCCTTTATTTGAAACTGAATCACTAAAATATCCTGGCTTTGTTGAGTTTGATGATGTTAATGGCAAAGTATTGACCTTTTCGGCCCAGGATAGGTAAGTGACATTTTTGCTCAACAGTATGACAGCAAGCATGTGCATTGTTTAATTGCTTCTTCTTTGCAGTACTTACAAAGTTTTTGATCTAAAGAACTACAACTTTCTGTATTCCATATGCGACAAGAATATCCAGGAGATAAAGATAAGGTTTGCTGTCACTGATCACTGATAAATCCATTTTTGATTTAGGTAGTTCATATCACGTTTCTTACCCATATTCTTTTCCATCAGTCCTGGAATCATGCTCGTGATTTATCAGAAGACAAACTGTCATGTTCCACTGACTATATTGTCAATTGAGGATGGAACTCCACTGAAAACCTTCAATCAGCTGCTGCATCGAAATAGAAAGGTTGATTTCATCGAGCAGTTCAATGAAAAGCTTCTCGTGAAGCAAGACAAGGAAAATCTCCAGATTATCGATGTAGGCCACCATTAGTTTTTCTTGTTAATTCTTTCTTTCATTGTGGGAGCAGCAATTTACATTTCATTTTCGAACTGACTCGAGTTCCTGTCCAGGTTAGGCACTCCGATCTAATTGAAGTAAACAAAACCGAGTTCATGACTCCCTCAGCATTCATCTTTCTCTACGAAAACAATCTATTCCTGACATTCTGCAATAGGACAGTTGCAGCCTGGAATTTTCGTGGAGAGCTAGTTACATCATTTGAGGACCATGAGTTGTGGCATCCTAACTGCAATACAAACAATATATACATCACTGCTGACCAGGACTTGATTATCTCATATTGCAAAGTTTCAAAGCAGAAGCAGAGCACAGATTGTGCTGACAGTGAAGCTGGAGAAGGTATAACTAAATTCCACTCTAAATTGTGATTTCTTGATTATACTTCCTCTAGTCATCAAAATAAGCCTGCTGAATTTTTCAGTTTCGTCCATGGGATCAATTAACATGAGCAACATCTTTACTGGAAAGTGCGTAGCCAAGATCTCCCCCAGTGACCCTACTCTCACAATTGCTCCTCGAAAGAGAGGCGACAGCAGCAGATCTACCATCCACAGCACTGTCCCAGAAGCTCTTGAGGACATCACTGCTCTCTTCTACGATGAGGACCGCAATGAAATCTACACTGGAAACAGCAAAGGCCTGGTGCATGTCTGGTCAAATTAACCTTGACATCCACCCCCCTACCTTGTACATACCTCTTGCACCTGTACTCGTTTTTCCTTATAGAACAAAGATGTAATTTCTGTTTGATTATAGGGGGAGTGTAACTTCCTAGTCATTATATCATCGGTAGAAGAATCTGATGTAGAATATGTTTTTGTGTAATGTATCTTGGCGAAAAGGTTTTCACATAAGGCGGTTTATTTCAAAATCTGCTCTAAGTTTCTCAAGCATCTGAAAATCTGTTCCTATAGCGCCTAGAGTCAACCACCAGTTCTGATGCGAATCTCTCCTGTTGCTGTGTGACTGAGTGGGCAGGGCAGTGACTTTGGCATTGGCACTACTAAAAGAGAATTTCCCTGGTTTAAAGTTGTCTTTCTTCCTTGGTCCTGAAACAAAATTTCTTACCTATTTGGCCTCACTCGAAGTTTCGTTTTCTAACTTGGTCTTACTGTGAGACCTGTTAAAGTTTGCCATCATTGAGTTGTCAGTTTTTATTGAACAGACAGAAATACCCCTAACGGAAGCCGTGTCTCCTGTCTCTTCTATCTCGACCTCTCGGTCTCGTCCGTCCCTTTCCACATCCGAGCCCGCTCTCTTTCTGAAACAAAAAGGAACCCTAACCCGGGTATTGCGGGGCGGCGGCTAGGGCGCGCAGGCTTAGCAAGCGGCTGGGCGGGCGGAGGCAAGGGCGCGCGGCTGCCTGGGGTCGCGGCAGCCAGGGTGCACGGCTGCCTGGGGTCGCGGCAGCCAGGGCGTGCGGCGGCCTAGGCTCGCGGCGACTAGGGTGCGCGGCGGCCTGGGCTCGAGGCGGCGCCTAGGCTCGCGCAATGGCGTGTCAACGCGCTCCCCTACTACACCTATTGCAAGTCACTCCCCTTCCGCATCAGCCTTTGGAACTGGTCCGTCTCCTCCCTTGCTCCCTCACTCCCCTTCCATGTCAATCTGCTTCTCAGCTGATTCGTTCAGAAAGTTTGTGCTTGTTACTTTGTTCTCATGTCGGATAGGGTGCAAAAGTTTCAACTTTGGTAGTGATTTGTTACTGCTTGTTCAAGTGCTCCTGATTTGTGTGTGAATCATGCACTTCTGAATCCTGGATGGATGTTGTTTCTTTAGATTGAGGTTTCCGGAGGTAGCTTGTTGATTTACAAGTTAGGGATAGGTTTGTACCAAGCTGAATTTCATCTGTGTGAAATTTGGGAACGAATCATGGAGTTTTGGTCGAGATTGCTTCAATTTTTCGCTCGCGCCTCTTGCTGTTTGTAGCGTTCTATTCTTCGTGCTCGGTCTCCAGGTCGGCGCTCCCGTACGGTGTTGACCGTGGCAGTGCAGCTCCTGCCCGCGTCTCGCGATCAGATCATCGCTGCAGTCCGGCTCGGCGTCACAGCACCCCAGCAGCCAGCAGCCAGCGCTTTGCCTCCTCTTCAAGTCCCAGCAAAGAAAGCGCTCCTTGATTTGTGTGAATCCAGTCCGAGCAAAGGTTTTGCTGCCCGTGAGGCCTGTGTGGCTCGCTTTTCCGCTCTGCGAGGGAACATTCGCCGTGGCGGTCGTGGTCTTCATTGTTCTTGCAAGCGCAGCTTGCCAAGGTCGTCGTGGGCCTTTCTCCTTGCTGTTCGTGGCCGTAACCTCTCTCTCTCTCTCTCTCTCTCTCCGTCATGCGTTTTTGGTTCCGTGAAATTTGGACTCCGGGAGGAGCTGTTCCATTGCCCAGGTTGCTTGGTCCATCTCTGTTCGATCTCTCCTCTCCCTCTCGCTTGTTTTCTCGTGAAACCGGTTTGAGCCACAGTGTCGACTTTCCGAGAGGATTTCTCGTTCTGTCAACAGCACATGGACTCCAATCTCATCCAAAGATTCGGTCTTAGCTTCAAGGTGACCGACGTCTTCTTCTTTGTGTGCTTCGGGCTGGAATTTCTGGTTGAAGGCTTCGGAATTTCCGGCCTATAATTTCCGAACTCGCTTTTTCATCCGTTGTTTATTTGTTCGATCTCCGATTTACAAGTTCATGATGTATCGCTTATCTTCCCGTTAATTTGGGTTGTTCATTTCATATAATAGTTCTGATAATCTGATTGATAGTGAGCTATTCGATAAGTTGGGAGCAAAAGTACTGCAGAAGAAACTAAAAAAGCACCACAAGGTACACATTCACTACCAGAGAGTGTATAAAGGGTATGAAGTTAGCACTAAATCAGCTTTATGGTAATTGGGACAACAGCTTTGATAATCTATTTAGGTTTAAGTCAACAATTGAGCAATGTTGTCCAGGTAGTATGGTAATTATTGATCATCACACAGTTAATGAGAAAATCAGATTTAGAAGGCTATTCTTTGCTTTGAAACCTTGCATAGGGGGGTTCCTTTCTGGTTGCAGGCCATATCTAGCTATAGGCAGTACATTCTTAACTGGCAAGTATAAGGGACAATTGGCTAGTGCTTCGGGTGTTGATGGCCATAATTGGTTGTATCCAGTAGCTTTTGGGGTTTTTTATTCTGAAACTAATGATAATTGGATCTGGTTTATGCAATTGCTCAAAGATGCTATTGGTTCACCAAACGGTTTAGCCATATGTAGATGCAGGGTGGACAATTGAGTTTTTGTACTCAAGTACGTTACATTAGCTGCTCAAGATTCTTTTCCCTGGTTTTAAACATGTTGATTTGTACTGAAAGTGCTTCTCTATCTCTATCATGAGTACTACGGATCCAACTTGTTTCTCTAAACCGTGTGCCGTATGTTTTTATGTGTTGCAATTGCATAAACCAGATCCAGTGGATCCATTGGCGCCTGAGCTATCATCATCAACAGTAGCATCATTTTACCATGATCCAGTGGATCCAGCTTGCTTGTGTTCTCAGTGTTGTCTGTTTTGTGCATGTGCAAAACATTCGTAGTGATTGATTTGAGACATTTTTTGGCTTCAAAATCTGGCAAAACATTAAGTCATTTGCAGCAGCAGCGTAGACAGACAGACAGACATACTATCGGCATCATATGTATCGTTGATGCTGTGGTAGCAACGCGCATCTTTCTATCTATTTATATACTATAATATATATTTGTTAGTTATATACAATATATCTCTCTAAGTTTAACTAAAATGAATGCCCCATTACATGCATTTTATAGGTCCAAAGAAGGCTCAAATCAACTTGAACCATCTACGGAGCTTACAAGTGGTGCAGCACCAACATCTAAAACTGTGAAGGCCAAGGCTAAGACAAAGACAAAGCGGAAGAATATAGCTAAATACATTGTCGTAAAGCCACTGATACTTAATAGCCCTGCGATGGGCACAAGAAGCAAAATATGTAATCCTGCTAGCCCTGCAATGAGCACAAGAAGTAAAAGGAGGCTCAGTTTGTGACTTTCATGTGCCTGCAATGTCACTTTTAATATGAACTTGATGTATGCGTCAAACGATGTGTCGAACTAGTGCACTGTGAAACTGATGTGTGAAAATGATGTATGTGTCGAACACTATGTTGAACTATGTGCTCTGTGCCCTTTTTGAAATTTTAGGATGATGAACTTGTTTAAATTGTGTGCTATGATCAAGTTGACATCATTTTTACTATAATGTTGGAGGTCTGGATATAGCATTCCTATCAAAAAATGTTTAAAAATTTGTGTTATGAAAATTGGATTCAAAGTGCTCAGAATTATGGTGTTATGCTGCCTGGGTAACATTTGGTTTCTCATAATGTCTCAGGGGCAGTTTGGTCATTTCATGTGCCACTTAACGGTGTTAGAGGCAGGAGACGACGGTAAGGTCAGATCAGAAAACGAAACTTCAAGTGGGATCAAATGGGTAACAATTTTTTGTTTCAGGGCCAAGAAAGAAAGACAACTTTAAACTATGACCAAATAAGAAATTTTCTCCTAATAAAACTTTTGGTCGCTTAAGCATACTTCCTCCGTCCTACAAAATGACTTCTCTTAGAGGTCCTCTTGACAGTGATAAACAGTGTTATAAGGTCTTTCTTTGTGAACGAAGGAAGTGGTCTCAATCAGATGTCCTTGAGAATATACTAGGTAGGTTGGCGTGCTTCGCTGTGTCCGTAGTGATAACACATAATCATCTGCATGTTTGCTCTTTATAGAAACGACAATGAATTCAGTAGCATGAAATAGATTGCAAGCGTTCACACGGATCTATTAGTTTATATATGTACAATAGAGTGAATCGCTAGTCTAGTCACTCAAATATACATTTGAGACATTGCCACACAAGTGTACAGGCTTGTACAGGAAGAGAGCATAACTGTAAACATCACGAGAAGTGAGGTTTTATGTGGATGCCATGTATGATCATTTCACTTTGACATAGGATATTTCCATACATGTATACAAAAGTACAAATCTGACATTGGGTGGATTAAAGGAAAACACCAGCCGAATGTCACCTTGTCTCCTAATTAGTGCAGTCAAAATTGATCCATGACTATTGGGTAACCTTTGTGCTTTCTTAGTGTTCTCCCCATGCAATCTTCGTTTTCCAGCTGCATATTAAGCTAAACTTCAGAACTATGAAACATTTCTTGGACAACCAAAGTTTGGGATGAGTTTCTTAAACTCGTTAGCAATAATTTCAACAACATCATCAGGTAGAAAGCAAAAACTATCTTATATTGCACACATAAACTTCAGGTATTAAAGTTTGGCATCATTCCCATGATAGTTTAATTCAATACTAACATGATTTATGGAAGAAGACACATACGGGCAAAATCTGATTTCAATGAACTGAAGTCAAGCTAAATCAATTAGTAGATTGGCTATGTTTGTCAAAATCCTCAAGGCTTTTCCTTCAAGTAACCAAACGAAGATGACGACAATTCTTAGCATTATTTTTTTTGGAAACGAAAGGAGCACATGCTTTGTAAGACAATAACATGAATAATACTCGCTCATCTCGTGGAAAGGCATATCATTTGTTGTTGTACCTGAGAGTAGGAGACCATATATGGGGATATCTGTTACGTGAACTGCATGCAGTGAGATG